AACTCTATCCTATCATCATTCCTGATAGATCTTCAACAGACTATCAAACCGCTTATAACTCTTCTCACAAGACTCCTTTCCGAAATCCCGTTTAACTTCCGATGAATACAAAGCCCCTAGACGAACAAGACATATTTCTCCATGACAATTATATTGACATTGCTCTCCTGACAGAAACTCACTTCACTCAACGGACACATTTCTACAAACGTGACTACATCACTTATAGATCTGACCATCCAGACAACACTTCCCACGCTGGCTCTTACATCCTTATACATAAATCTTTATGGCATTCCCTTATCCCTTCTACTCCAACTGATGCCATTCAATCAACTTTTGTTATCCTTTCAACTCGTCCTTTCCATCTAACACTTTCAGCTGTATACTGTCCTCCTGGTAATTCCCTCTCTTATAGCCTACTTGAATCCTTATTTCAATCCCTCGGAGCGGAGGAGACTACAATGCTAAACACCGACGATGGGGTTGTCGAACATCTAACTCCCGCGGTAGCATCCTATCACATGTTTCTTCTTCCAACAGTTATTCAATCCTCTCGCCCATAAATCCTACATATTGGCCTACATCTCTGAAAAAACGTCCCGATATCCTGGGTATATTCATCACCTCCCAGATTTCCTCCTCCCAATCCATTATCAAATCCCTGGATGACCTTTCGTCAGATCATAGTCCAGTTTTGCTTTTACTACATTCAAACTTTGCTCCTAAACCTTCTCCTCCTAAACTGATTACAGAACGAGTAGACTGGGACTAATTTCGTGATGATCTGGAAGATAAACTGGACTTAAAAATTCTCCTTAAGACAAAACAAGATATTGATAAAGACATAGAAAACCTTACTACAACTATAACAACGAGTATAAATAATAACACATTTGTTAATAATAAAAGCATTAATTCAAGACATATTAACTTGCCACAGCATATTCGAATCTTATTAAGGGATAAACGCAGAGCAAGATCGAAGTGGCACAGGACTAGATATCCTTCAGATTGACTAACAAACTAAAATCAGAAAATATAAAACTCAACAATTACTGAACCTAACTGAAAATATTACAACTGACCAATCACTATGGACAACCAAAAAAACTTCTGAAGTTTAAAGAATTAATAAAAAGCTAAAATTAATTAAAGCAGGCCCGACCGAACTCAAAATGGCACTGGCAGAAAGTATGACACTTCTGTTAAATGGTGGAGAGATTCCTGAAGAATGGAAACAGGGTTATATCACTCCAGTTTTCAAAAAAGGCCAAAAGAAAGATGTTTCCAACTACAGAGGTATTACTGTTACCAGCTCGCTGAGTAGATTATACGGCCGGATAATTAAAAGCAGAATTGAAAATGATTTAAAGGAAGAGATCAGCGAGGAACAGGCGGGTTTTCGAGCTGGAAGACCATGCACTGATCACATTTTTAGTCTCTCACAACTTATAGAAAAGAGGATGGCCCACGACCGTGAACTCCATATGATATTTGTAGATTTACACAGGGCCTATGATTCAGTACCTCTAGCGAAATTGTGGAAAGCTTTGGAAGCCACATCTATTAAGAGATACCTCATCAGAGCAATTCAAGAGCTCTATAAAAATATAACGGGGGCTATAAAAATTGGAGATAGAGTGTCTAGAAGCTTCTTCATTAACAAAGGATTGAAACAGGGCTGCTGCCTTTCACCCCTGATTTTCAACATTTATATAGAACAAGCCCTTATAAACTGGAAAAGATCGTGCTGTGGAATGGGTGTTCAAATCGGGAATGATGTCATCTACAATTTGCAGTATGCCGATGACCAAGTCATAATCGCATCGGATCCGGATGATGTTAGCTATATGATGAGGAAGTTGCTGGACACGTATTCCAGATGGGGTCTGAAAATCAGTGAAAGTAAAACAGAGTATATGGTTTTTAACGCTCCAAATTTGCCCCTTGAAATTGATGACTGGACGCTAAATGTCGGCCAGCGGTTCAAGTACCTCGGATACTGGTTATCTTCAAAGGGTGGTAGTGAGGTTGATATCGAACATAAAATAAATAATGGGAAAAGAATAATAAGTTCCATAAATTCAACCCTATGGAGGAAAGAACTAAGATTAGAAACAAAAAAAAAGATATACCATTCCTTTGTAGAAAGCGTAGCCACTTACGCATCAGAAGTCTGGACACGGACAAAAAATATGGAAAATAAGTTGCTTTCCATGGAAATGGATTTCTGGAGAAGAAGCTGTGGCATATCCAGAATCGAGCGGATCCCAAACGCAGCAATTAGAGAAAAGGTCGGATGTCAAAAGAACATCCTTCACCTGATCGGGACCAAACGGTTAAAGTGGTATGGCCACTTAATGCGGATGGATGAGAACCGCTGGCCAAAGAAAATTTATAACTATGTGCCACCTGAAAGAAGAAAGCGTGGAAGACCAAAGAAGAAATGGATAGAGGACGTGGAGGAAAGCATAGCAGAAAGAGGGCTTCGTGAGGGAGATTGGATGGACAGGGAGCAGTGGCTTTTGGGTGTTGGGGATATGACTCCTTGAGCTGTATAAAACCCAAATAAAAAAAAAAAAAAAAAAAAAAAAGTTTAAAGAATTTAATCACCCACTTCTTACTGAATCCCAAACCTGGCCCAAATCCGACGAAGAAAAAGCCCAATTATTCGGTCAACATCTGTTCCAAATTTTCAACCCACATCCTGATATCCTTAATCCAACCCACATCGAATGTATTGAATTAGAACTGGATACTCCTCTCCAAATGTCCCTTCCACCTAAAGCATTTCATCCCACAGAAATATCCAACATCATTCACAGATTACTCTCCCGCAAAGCTCCTGGACATGACCTAATAACATCCCAGATCTTGAAACTTCTTCCTCGAAAAGTCGTCCTATTCCTAACTTTCATATATAATACTTTACTCTGATCTACATATTTCCCTGATCCTTCGAAAATATCTATTGTCAAAATGATCCACAAACCCAAAAAGCCACCAGAATATCCATCCTCTTACCGTCCCATTTCTCTTTTACCCATCATGGGAAAAATCTTGGAAAAACTAATCTTAAAACGCCTGTACCCCATCCTAAATTCTAATCACATAATCCCAGATCACCAATTTCGATTCCGCTCCTCCCATTCCACTATACAGCAATGCCATCGTGTGGTAGACGTAGTATCCTCTGCATTGGAGAGCGGTATGTACTGTACGGGAATCTTTCTCGACGTTGAACAGGCGTTTGATAGAGTCTGGCACCCGGGAATGCTGTACAAACTCCGAAAATTCCTACCATCCACATACTTACTCATTGTACATACTTCCTTCAGACAGACAAACTTTTAACAGATTGAACAATGAACTTAAAAGACATATTCAAAAATTCAAAAGCACAAACTACGACAATTTCATTAACAACCTTTCGACGGACGATGGAAGTTTATGGAGACATACAAGGAATTTTTTAAAGCATCGTGAGGTGTCAGCACCCCTACGAAGAGAGGATGGTTCATGGGCTGTTTCGAACGAGAAAAGAACTGAATTCTTTGCTAACCACCTTTCCACTGTTTTTAAACCACATACAGACTTAATTAATACAGAACACGATATTTTTGTACATAATAACTTAGACATACCGTTACAGCTCACACTACCACCACCTCCTTTCACACCATCACAAGTTACACAAGAAATTAGACAATTGCCCAAAAGAAAAACCACTGGTCATGACTTGATAACTGCTGAGGCGCTCCAGCAAATGCCAAGGAAAGCTGTAGTGTTTCTTACCACAATCTTCAATTGCATTCTCAGGACCACCAAATTTCTTATACAGTGGAAATACTCACACATAACCATGATTAAAAAGCCAGACAAAAACACTAACAATCCTTCTTCATATCGATCGATTAGTTTACTTCCAGTATGTTCTAAGTTATTCGAAAAACTATTGAACCCACGACTATTACGTATACTAACAGACAGACAGATTATTCCTGACCATCAATTCGGGTTTCGAAAATTAAATTCAACAACACAACAATTGCACAGGGTGACTGACTACATCTCTACAGCACTAGAGCGGATATTATATGCAACCGTTGTATTTTTGGATGTCGCCCAAGCGTTCGACAAAGTATGGCATCAGGGGCTTCTCTTCAAGCTTAAGACCATACTTCCACATACTTACTACTTAATTCTCCATTCCTTTCTCTCAGATAGATTTTTCTCCGTTCGACATAGTCAAGGTCTATCCTCAATTCGATCAGTTTTAGCTGGTTTACCTCAGGGATCAATCCTAGTCCCACTACTGTTCATCACATACACACATGACATTCCTCAAAGTATCCACACTCTTACAGTAATCTACGCAGACGACACTGCTATCATTACCAGGCACGAAAATCCTACAGAGGCATCATTTAACTTACAACATAACTTACAAATTATACTAGATTGGTGTAAACTTTGGAAAACTCAAATAAATTACCAAAAGTCACAGTAAATCACATTTACTCTAAGACCAGAAACATGCCCTCCTGTATACTTAGACAACATACCGATTCCACAAACAGACAGAGTACAATACCTAGGCCTTACGTTCGATAGGAGAATGACATGGGGTCCACATGTGAAGAAAAAATGAATCACATTAAATCTAAGACTAAAATTGTTACATTCACTGTTAAGACGACATTCCAAATTAAAAGAAAGACAGAAACTAAGTATTTACACATATCTTTTACAACCTCTTTGGACTTACGGACTACAAATATACGGAATTGGAAAACCAACTCACATAAAAAAACTTCAAACTTTTCAGTCTAAGATACTACGACTAATCACTCAAGCACCATGGTATGTAAACAATTACTCTTTACACACCGACTTACACGTTCCGACAGTCAATGAACACATACGAACGTACTACAAACAATTTCATAACATGTTAAACGGGCACTCCAACCAGCTGGTAAAAGAAATGGCCACAACTAGTATGCCCGAGAACTCCAGAATACGACTGAAACGGTCTGGATGAGGGATCTGCTTAAATAATGTTTTAGTAAATAAAAGCCATGGAAGGGTAAAAAAAATATATATATATTATTTAATGTTAATCACATGTTTTCAAGGAAAAATGAAATTTACTAACTATATAAACTTTTAAAATATTTTTAAATTTGAAAAAGTATTTAAAATCCACCTCATCAAGGCAATATTATTGTTTAAAAAACTAATTCATTGTGTTTGTGTGAAAGAATAGATGAAATATTAAATCATTTCATGGATATATAAGGCATATGTTTATAAACTTAAATATATTTACTGTAGTTTAATAACTCTAGATCTGATATTATATTTAAATAATTAGGTATCTATCATCCGTTTATTCTAAAAAAAGCATCATGTAACCTTTTAGAAAATTAAATTAGTGAATAATTTGATGAATTTTTCTTTTGTAATATTCCAACAGTATCCACTTACAATTAGTGTGACAACTTTTTACCTGTCTATGACAGACATTGCAAATTTCTTAATTCCATTTTAGTAAACTTTGCAATGGAAAATAACTAATAGTTAACTACAACATAATAGTTTATAGGTTGAATATACAAATACACTTTCAAATCTCTATAGAAATATACGTAAATATATAGCATAGAGACTGGAGTTATGTGGTTTACTTAGTTGGAGTTATGGATATAATTAATAGAATTTTTGTTATTACAGTATTCTTAATAACTAATAGTCATACAATCCATAATCAACGGATGGGATCGTACAACCCATAATCAACATGTGATATAATAGATAGGACTTTTGATATTTTAATGGTATTTATGGTTTTTTAGCTGTAAGCTTTTACCTTTAACTCGGTTAAAAATGCAATTCAAAAATTTTATAATAGCCCAACCTGTCCAGAAAATAATTTCTATTCAAAGTTAAGCGGTAAGTGAAAGTTGTGTGCTGCGCGCATTTTTTATTTATTAAATATACTTTCTTTGTATTATTTAGTCGTTATTTTGCTTTTGTTTCATTTTATTTATTTTTATTTTCTGTATTTTTATTTACTTTTTTTTTTATATAGTGTGAATGTACTCTTTTCTCACTATAACCATTGCCCATGTGACAGAATGTTATATTACTCAATAAAAATGAATAAATAAAAATAAATCTTGTTTTTATTGTTGGCTGGCTTATAATAATTGACTTCTGAATCCTCCATATATTTAAATTGAATTGAGTCAGTAACTCATGAAATCATTCATGAAAAAGATTAAGTACAAATCAATTATAACTTTATAATACTTATTTCTAACTCACAAAATTATTTTTCATAATTAAAATCACTCCACCTTAGCCGTAAGAAAGAAAAATCACATGAAAGTTAATTTTTATGAGAATAGATTTAATAAAATAAGCTGGGTGATGAAATATGAAACATGTCCTTTTATCACGTCATGTTCGCATTATAAGGTTCAACTAAGATATCACAATCAGGCATTTAAACTATTTCTGATATATTCTTTTTTTTTTTTTAACTGAAAACAGTTAGATAAATAAAGAGTATATTTCTTTCCTAAAATCATTCCACAAATAACAATTACTCTGCAAACGTGCGGATTAAATTAAATTAAATTAAAATAAAAATATAAATAAATAAAAATAATTAAAAAAATTAAAATATATAAAATTAAAATAATAAATAAAAATTAAATGAAAACATAAAAATTAGAAATAAATAAAAAAATAAATATGAGAAGGAGTTAGTTGAGGGTGCGGTCAAATAAATAAAAAAAATTAAAATATATAAATAATTTTAATTTTTGCCAAAAATTAAAATTATTTATATATTTTAATTTTTTTTAGGCAAAAATTAAAATTATTTATATATTTTAATTTTTTTTATTTATTTGACCGCACCCTCAACTAACTCCTCATATCATATCAACGGTCAACCATCTCTACATCAAAAAAATAAATATATATAAAACTAAAACTAAAAATTAATATATGAATAAAATATTAAATTTTAAAAATAATAAAATTAAAATTAAAATGATAATACAAAATAATTATAATGAATTAAAAAAATGTGGTTCTGAAGTTCTTTCACCTAACAATTCCTAGACAGTTATCCAGATAGCACCTCTCGAACAACTTAAGGTCCCTTTGCTCTCTTTCTTATAATTTAGTCTTTAGTGCCTCCTGAAATCCTTCTTTCACTTGTTCATTTGTATGATTTTCCAGATTCCCTCTCACTCTTCTTAACCAGCTGACTTTTTGCACTTTACTCAATCTATTTCTGAAGACAGCTTTTACTAAGAAGTGATCTGAATCACAATTTGATCCTCTAAAAGCTCTGATAGCAATTATACTGGAGACACTTCTATCAGAGGCAAGTACGTGGTCAATTTGATTTATAGTACTGCCTGCTGGTGCTTTCAAGGTATCTAAATGGATGTTGTATTGGAAGCTTGTGTTCTTTATCATATAGGGTGTTTCATGGTTAAGAGGCCAAACTGAAAATATGAATTAAGGACCTCAAAACTAGAATGAAAATTCCTATGAAGGTATGTCCGCAAACGCTTTGTTTAGGAGATATTCACACCTAAAGATTTTCATTGTTATAAATTATTTACGTTATTTTAAATAAATAAAACTTAATTACTTGTACCAACTACTTTAATAATTAAATTCATATTAAATGTTGTTCAAAGTGATTTCCTTGAGCATTAAGACATGCTCGGCATCTTTATTCAATAGCAGTAGTGGCAGAACGTCACTGGATATGTATTATTGTTTCACAAGATTCAATTATCCTTCTTCATAAGGAATTAAGGTCATTGACTGGACTTCCATAGACTTTTAGTTTAATTCCAAATAGTATCAATCCTTATGTTGCCAATAATTTTTACACAGTTAGGGATAAAATGCCATATCAGTATTTTATCTAATCCATCTCCTAAACAAAGCGTTTGCGGACATACCTTCACTTTGAACAACATTTAATATAAATGTTAATGTTCACATTTAATTAATAAAGTAGTTAGAACAAATAAATAGGTTTTATTTATTTCATATAACGAAAATATTTTAACTTTGTACTTTTTTGTTATTCTAAAGGGAATTTGTCGCAGAGTAAAATCATTTTCTATTCTATTCTAAATAATCCATAACAATGAAAATCTTTAGGTGTGAATATCTCCTAAACAAAGCATTTGCGGACATACCTTCAGAGGAAATGTTTTTCTTGTTTTGAGGTACTCAGCTCATTTTTTTTCAGTTTGGCCACTTTACCCTGAAAGACCCTGTATATTGCCTCAATGCTGCAAACTGCGCAAGACGATGCCATTTTTCATTTGGTTTATCATCTATGGTAAAAATCCAAACATACAACTTCCTTAACTATTTGAGCATTTAGATTTCCAGTACAATAACTGCACCTTCCAGGGATACTATCACCAGCCCTATTTAATGCATCGTATAAACCATCCTTTTCCTCATCATCCTTCTCATCAGTAGGGAAAAACTTTCTAAACTCTCTCTAAAGCATAAATTAACATATCCTGACAGTAAAAGTTACATAGCTCAATATTGCATTCCTCGTTGATTTATTATCTATAAAGTCTGTGCCCAGCTAACTTTTCTTTGTTGTGTCGCCACTATAAATAAGAGTGTACTCGTTTTTATCCAAATGTCTTTGGGCTGACCATCTAATTTCTCGAAGCACTGTCACATCAATTAATGATTGAATTTAAAACTAATAAATTCCATGAAGAAAATAGATAAAACGTAAATGAATGAGCCAGCAACATGTTATGCATTAAAATTAATCCTCAGATAAATTTCAGAATTAGTTTCTATGAAATCTAATATTCTATTATGTAAAATATTTTATAATGTGAAATCTTAACAGGTTTGATGAGAGCAAGCAGCGGCACAGCTGGATTGTAGCAACAGGGACCAAGCATCAAAAGGAACACTTCCCGGATGGCCAAGGGTTAATTTTTAACCATCTAAAATTTTAAAATATTAAACCAAATATTGGAAATATAATATAACAACTATTTAATATCTTTATGCAATTGTTTTGTTGCATACATTATAGAATAAGACTGAAGTGAATTTGACATTTGACAAGGGACCCATAAAAATTATTTCCTAAGGCTAATTGATTTCTAGGTTCCTGCATCTTACAAAAATTCACCTTCCTCAATAATTAATCATATCAATATTTGAAAATCATTCATAAATTTTCTAATTTTCATTGTTGGTTTTTTTTTTTGTAGGGATAGGATTAATGTATTAAAATATTTATTTATTTTATGTTTTTGTTGACTCTACCCTGCAGAGTAATTGGCAACACCATGAAATTAAACTGTATAATAGAATTTCACCACTTTTAAGAATCTTAATATCATTTTAACTACTCCTTTGCTGTCTTGTAAATTTTCTTTGAGGCTTTATGCCATATCCAATTTTTTCCTAACAATATTGGACAGTCTTGTATAATGTGTTTTACTGTCCTTTGGACATTGCAGCTCTCGCTGGTCAGAGGTTCAATTCCTCTGAGTAAGTATACATACGAGAACTCAATGTTAAATTCTTAATCTGGAGAGGGCTGTCTCTTCTTTTCTAAAGGATGTGAGAGGTGAGAGGTTTCCCATTTCGGACAGTGGGTTTTAATTTCCTTTAATTTTGATTCTTTTTATTCCCACTTGTTTTACCACATTTCCACACATTCTCCTTAAATTTTTTCACCATTCCTCTAAAAGGATTTCATTGATTGATTCCATGGGTGTTGTTTTTGGTTTTCTTGCCATGTTGGCTGCTTGATCTGCTTGTTCATTGCCGATGATCCCACGATGCAAAGGGACCCAGACAATCACTACTTCTTTGCCCTTCTCTCTTAGTAGCCACCAAACATATTAAAATATTTGAAAGTACAATCAAAATAAAAATAAGTATCATCTGCTGGATAGTACTAGTCTAAATATTCAAAACTAATCTAGTCTATATATAATAAACCAGATCTATGTTTAATAACATAGCAAATTTTACAGCATCATTTTGAGATGAAAAAAATGATCAACTAGTGTCCTTCTTGTTTATATATTTTACATTAGATTCAATATATAATCAGAATACAAAAGAATATTGTTTTGAAACAAGGTCATTAATTATATTATTTAAGAACAAATGTGGACTGCTTTAGAAACAATTGTGAATAATTTTATTTCTGATATTATTTGCAGTTTTGAATATTCTACAATGAATTTCAAAATCTAATGTTTGCATATGCAGAAATTTTCATTTCAACAATCAAATAAGGTATTGTAATAAGTTTGATTACTGTAATTAGAAAATATGTTTATAATTTTTTTTTGTTCTTTGCACCTTACAGCTCTCGCATGTTGGTGGTTCCAGTCCTCTTAGTATATAGGACTGTCTCTTCTTTCCTAGAGAGTTGGTTACAAGTTTTCCATTTGGGACAGTGGCTTTTCATTTCTTTAAATTTAATTAATTTTTTTGCCATCTGTCCTTGCGGAAAATGTGACAGAACAGATAGAAAAAAAAGAAGTTAAATTAAAAGAAATAAAAAGCCACTGTTCCAAATGGAAAACCTGTAATCAACTCTCTAGGAAAGAGGAAAGAGAGACAGTCCTGTGCTGATTAAGAATGGGCATTGTGAATTTTCACATGTCTATTTACTCAGAGGACTGGAACCACCAACATGCGAGAGCTGTAACAGTCCAACACATCATCCAAACCTGCCCTATATTTAAAAATATAAGACACAAATTAGATATGGCTCAGAGCCCCCCCCCCCAAAAAAAAAAAAACTTCAGTGACAATGAAAAAGATGTGGAAAAAACTTTGAAGTTTTTAAAAATGATAAAATTCTATAACAGAATATAAACAAAAGCTATTGCCAATGACCCTATAGGGTAGAGGTAACAATAAACACAAATATTTTTTTTAAATTTATCTAAAACTTGTTTTCCTAAATTTATTGTTAAACTTGTATTTTTTTTCTATTTTGAAAACTTGTTATTAATGATTTATTTCTGCTCCATGAGTTACTATTCTGATCCCAGATTGCTCTAATTATTATGCAGAGGACTTTACTATCAAATCATTCAGTATTTCTTTCTATGGTCCTGGTTACTGTCCTGGTCTCTCATCCATATATGAGAACCTAATTTATGATAGCATTGTACACATTTGATTTCTGATTTTGTGATCAATTCCTTTAAAAGAGAATAGAAAGCTCTGTTCATGCTTGTTATATGCTCGTCTATTTCGGACCATTGGTCATTCATTGAGATTATTATGGAGCCGAGTTATTTGAATCTGTCTACTCTCACGAATGATTTCTCTTTTATTATTACATGTTTGCCACATCAAATATTTAAATAAATACAATAGTAAGAAATATACAATACAGATAAAAATTGTAATTATTTAAATACTATTTAATTACAAATTTTAACTAATTGTCAGCTGTAGGTAGACTATTTAATATTGCTTCAGGTTAAATGTCATTAACCAGTCTTGGTTAATTATTTTTTATTACATTATACTAAGGAACCTGAGAAGCTATTACCATAGTCCATTACCATATTTATCCCTAATGGTATAACATTAATAACATCAAATACAAGATTTTTTTTATATTTATCACTTCTATGGCACCAGTTATGTTCTTTCTCTAGTGCATTATATAAATCCTCTTTATCTTCTTCTGTGGATATAACTAATTGGACTAGTATAGTAGAACAACTCTTTGAGCAAAGAATATTACTTGCTCCCTCATTCATCCTTTTATAATAGATATGGTGCCCAACGTAGATTTTAATATGTTAGCTATAATAAATTGTGTATTATATTTTCTTCTGGGTTTGTTTCCATATTTCAAGCTCATGCTATCTTATTGAGTTTTCATAATAAGAGTGGTTCACAGAGTATCAAATTATATTAATAATTTCAATCAATACATAATAATTATTTATGAACTACCTGAATTTTAGAACGAATGATACATTTCAGAAAATGTTTAACAATGTAAATTTTATTCATGAATTTTTAATTTAAAAAAAAAATCTATATTTAAGTATTCCTTTACTTGTTCTAACAATGTTATGTAGTATTAATTAAATTTAATTTTAGAAAAGATCATAACATGATCCGACAGAGTCTAGAATGGAACCCACAAAGACAGTGAATATGTAGGAGGCCTTGAGAAATGTGGAAGCAAACTTTGAAGAAGAAGATGTACAGTGCTGGACAGACCAGTTCTAGAGTCAGAAACTTGCTAGATATCTGATGGAACCTTGTAATAGCCCTATGTTCCACCTAAGAGATTCAAGCGATCATCATAATAATAATAAATAAATTTAACATAATTAAATACTCTAGTTGGCAACTGTAGGAAGATTAATAAAAAAACAATACTAGATAAAAAGCATATGTTTATTCATTTGTGAGTGACATTGAAAGAAACTTTCATTGTAATTGTAGCTTTCCAGTGTTCAAGAGTTATCTCAAAGTATGACTTAGTTTAGAGTCATGAGAAACTGTTTCATAGTGTAATGTAAATTAAGTTATTGTTTTTGTTCGTTAGGTATAATTATTGATAATTTAGAATCATACATTTGTTGTTATTTCAAGTTTTCTGTAATTAGTTATTTTGAAGTTGAACTTCATTTTAGTGAGTTGTGTATAGATATTTAATCTGAGCTTAAATTAATACTAACTATAATTAATAAATAAATACATTATTTATTTTCTCATACCTTAAAAAAAATTTATAATAAAATAAAAATGCAAAATTTATTTAAATCAGTTCTGAATACAGATTCATTGTTATTGTTATAATTAAGACTAAAATATTCACATTTCATTAAATGAAATAGAACATGAAAAAAAATCTATGCGAATTTTTTTATATTGGTATATTAAAAATGTTTTTAAAAAATAACAACAAACTGCTATTAAAAATAGTTAAGGATTCCTTCATGATTTTTATCAGCAGATATAATTAAATTATAAAGTTCTTTCTTTCAGCCACTGAGATATGGATCTACATATTTCTGGTTTGGCTAATGTTTTTATAAGAAGTATTTATAGGATTTACAAATCTTCGTTAAACATTGGTTTGATTATTAAGAGAAAGGTATGAAGTAAGATGAAATATAAATATAGAAAACAAAGTGGTGAGTGAAAGTTGAGTAAACACTAGAAGAAATGTTTTTATCAAAGGAAAATGTTATAAATAATTGTTGTGATATACCACAATATTCAAAAAATGTGCACATTAGTTAACCTCTTGGTTGTGTTATTTCTCTTAATCTAAAATAACTTATTATTTATCATATTTTGTTTAGGACAAAATTGTAGATGTTTATAGCCTTTCAATTATTTTAAATATCAAATTAAAATGATAATTTTTTTTTTAAATCTTACATATCTCTTCTTAACTTCATTCTGTTTTCTGTCAGCTCATCAACCCTTCTTTACAAACAACATACCATTTGTAATCACTTGATCTTTTAATAAGTTGTGCCATCAAAATTTTTGAGGGGGGGATATTTTGACAGTTATGAATTGTCGGACAAATGGACAAAGGTGACACATGTAACTAACCACAGGAAATGTATTTATATATGATCTATAATTTTTTACTTTTACTTACGTATATATGTAATATATAGTAAGGGTAAGTATTGCGATCGAGAAAATTTTTGAATATGAGTTTTCAACGAAAATAGACTTTTTGAGGTACCCTGAGTCGAAATAACCAAGTCCCGAAAAATGGTCTGTGTGTTTGTATGTTAGCAGTCTAGCTCAAAAACGAAAAGTCCTACGAAACTGATATTACGTATTTAAGATAGGTATATGCCTTAGATGTGACGGCAACTTTTTCCTTAAAATCGGCTAACCGGAAGTGCCACTTTATATCAACGCTGAAACACATTTTCACAATTTTCTCAAAAAGGGCTCTAACGATTTTGATTAAACTCGGTGTATCATTGTATAATTAAGTGGTCTTTAATATCGATTAGGTCTTATCCCCATTTATGTCACTTTACAGGGCTTAAATGCCCAATGTAAAGTGACGTCTTCCTCTAAAGTACCTTAAATATGGTTTATTTTAAAAAGTTATAATTAAAGTTAATTATAATATAATTCACATTATTCAAAGTAATGAAAAAATGCTAAATATAACTTTTGAAAGAATTTGATAAGTTAATAAAGGAGAAAATCTTCCTAAGAATAGGTATCTTTCCTAAGAATGTTTTTCATAAGAAATAAGTACCTAAATTTATTTTCAGTTCTATATTTCAACATTGCAATCACCACCTCCGGAATCAACTTACTCATATTCTGCATAGATAACTTTTTAAACTAAAAATATCACTAAAATGACATCAATTAAAAATATTGAAATTGGAGTTAGTCATTCTGAAGTTTATAAAAGCAAAGAAAGTTGTGTGGTTTATAAAAGGAGATGGAGTAACTAGATTTTTATTGCCTGTTGTCGATATATTAAATAGACATTTTGTAATTATAATGGTCTTAATGAATTGTAAGCTTTAAGCTTTAGCTCCGTTTAAAATGCACTTCAAAAAAATTTATAATAGCCCAGCATTGCCAGAAAATAATTTCTATTCACAGTACATCGGTAAGTGAAAGTTGTGTGTTGCGCGCACCAGATTTTTTTAATTGAACCTTAGCTTACTCTGTTTTTAAGAAAGGTGAGCAATACAATATCTTGGGAGAAGGGGAGCAGGAGTAGGTTTTTGCATCATCAACCTTGGGGGAGGAGATGGGCACCCCTGGTTTTAACCATGAAAAACTCTACTTTCATTTAAAGTAAATTTTATCCAGTTTATAGTGAAGCAATTTTTAATTATATAAATTAAATATTTGGTAATAGTTTACATGATGCCCGCAGCCTTTTGGGCTGGGGTGGGGGCGCTTATCCTCAATGATAGTTCCTGGTTAGGTAAGATTACCCGCCTAGCAGTTGTTGCCCCCACTACTCTTCTCCTTTTCCCTACTTTTTGAAATTCCCGCGACTACCCACCATCCTGCACTTCAAGTTAATTTTTGACAGTATCCAGTTCCTTGTTCCTCTACATACATATTTTTTTGAAAATCCTACGATTCTCCCACCATCATCATTTTCCAGTCATTAATTTCATTTGCATTTAATCTTCAACTGTTAGTTGCTATTTCATTTCAGGTGTCAGAAATGATTTTGTTCATGCTTTTGTTCAGTTTCATTGTTAAAA